CTTAGCCTGTAATCCCAGCACTTTGGGAGGCCAAGGCGAGAGGATTCCCTGAGTCCGGGGGTTCAAGACCAGCCTGGGCAACTTGGTGAGACCTCATCTCTACAATAAATCGCAAAAACTAGCCGGGCATGGTGGCGTGCGTCTGTAGTTCCAGCTACTTGGAAGGCTGAGGCAGAAGGATTGCTTAAGCCCAGCAGTTCAAGGCTGTAGTGACTGTGAGTGTACCACTGCACTCTGGCCTGGACGACAAGAGTGAGACTCCAACTCAAAAAAGAAAAAGAAAAAATATATCATTGAATCTGGGCATGGTGGTGCATACCTATAATCCCGGCTACTTTGGAGGCTGAGGTGGGAGGTTCACTTGAGCCCAGTAGGTTGAGGCTGCAGTGAGCTACATTCCAACCTGTAAAACAGCGAGAACTTGTCTCAAAAAAAAAGAAAAATATATGATTGATACTTTACAGCTGCTCTGTCCAAAACCGTAGCCACTTGCCATGTGTCTGTTTAAATTTAAGTTAATTTAAAACAAATAAAATTAAAAATTGAGTTCCTCAGTTTCATTAGCCACATATCAAGTGCTCAGTAATCACATATCATCATTCTATAATAATCTACTGAGTAATCTGTGCTGTTTTACGGAGTAAAAAGTGTGGTGATTTTAATATGTAGTAAACTATCATGTTGATTAATTTTTCTACTGCAGTTTTTGCCTGTTTCTTATCAATTGACAAATTAAGAGCTATTAGTGCCCTTAAAGATTATCAACTTGTCAATTCTATTTCTTTTTTTTTTTTTTTTGAGTTGGAGTCTCACTCTGTTGCCCAGGCTGGAGTGCAATGGCACACTCATAGCCACCCCAGCGTCGACCTGTTGGGCTCTGGTGATCATTCCACCTCAGCTTTTCAAGTAGCCAGAACTACAGGTGCATGCTACCACGCCTGGCTAATTTTTGATTTATTGTAGAGGCGAGCTCAGGCAATCCACTCGCTTTGGCCTCTCAAAGTGCTGGGATTTCAGGCTAAGCCACTGAGCCTGGCCATCAATTGTATTTCTTTTTTTTTTTTGCATTGGAGTCTCACTCTGTCGCCCAGACTGGAGTGCAGTGGCTGCTCCCGGCCACCGCAGCCTCGACCTGCTGGGCTCCGGCGATCCTTCCACCTCAGCCTTCCTTCCGAGTAGCCGGAATTACAGGCACACGCTACCACGCCCGGCTAATTTTTTGATTTATTGTAGAGATGAGGTCTCGCCTGCCCAGGCGGGTCTCAAACCCGCGGGCTCAGGCAGTCACTCACCTCAGCCTCCCAAGGGCGCGAGATTACAGGCTGAGCCACTGAGCCCGGCTCATCAATTGTATTTCTAACAAAAAATATAAATAAGTTGATAGTAAATGTAGTGGGTCATAAATTTTTATTTTAAATATACTAGCTCTCTACCATCCACTGCTATTCAGCATAGTAGCCACTAGGCACGTATGGCTCTTGAGCAGTTGAAGTATAACTAGTTTGAATTGAGATATGCTGTAAGTGTAAAATAAAATGCACAGTGTATTTTAAATACTTACTACAAAAAAGTAAAGATTTAAAAATACTGATTATATGTTGAAATATTTTTTAATATATAGTATTAAATAAGATTATTAAAATAATTTTAACCTTTTTACTTTACAAATATTCTACTAGGAAATTTGAAATTATATAACTAAACTTATATTTCTGTTGGACAGTGCTGTCTGTACAACAGCTAATAAATACTCTAATACATCAAGTAATATATACCTATTTGTACATGCCTCAGTCAACAGGTGACTAGATTTATAAAATGGGATGAGAACAATGGTTGCATGTTTACTTTATCCAGTATTGACTTTTAAAAAATAGTATCAATGATATCAATATCTTTCATGATTTAATATATCCATATGATGTGGGGACCATGCATAAAACACTGGTGCAAAGCTTTTAGTAAACTGCTAAACAAGTGATAGAGACAGTATGAATATCCTGGGCATTCCAAGGACAAAGGACTTGCATTGCCTAGATTGAAAGATGAATATGAGCCAAGTGGGCAGAAAATTTGATTAAGCTGGAAGGCTTTAATCAAGCCCACATGGGCTGTGTGTGCTTGGTGGATGGATAATTGGCCAAAATGATTTGAATCAAGGATTTCGATGTAGAAGAGAAAAGAATTCGAGTTAGGTTGAGATGGAATATTAGGACTCTGAGGCAAGGGTCAGAAATCTGGATGGGTTTATATACATATTTAGGAGTTGTAAAAAATATCAAATGGAAAATGATATGAAAGCGGTGTTTTTGGAAGACCGGTTTGGTTACAGGAAACTATTCATGGCTGCTTCTCTAATGTGTGAAAGTACAGTGATGTCCTAGAGAAACTGGGGAAATTGGAGGCAGGTTTAAGATGTAGAAAGAAAGCACCATCAAGACTACTGTGTTTGGTAAAAAGGAGAAATTGAAAATGATCTTGATTCCTAAATAAAAATCATAAAAAATAAGTGTTTTAGCTTCATACAGTGGTTTTCAGTTTAAAAATTCCTTGAGAAAGCAAATGCAACCTTTTATTACAGATGAGGAAGTTGAGGTTAAGTGTTTAAGGAACTAGAGCAGAATTATTATTTTCTTGTATATGTGATGTAGCTGAGAATTGAGTCCAGGTCCTAGACACCTAAGGTTTTCGAGACATTTTCTCCATCATTATACAATCAGTCACTAAGATTTAATAGTTTTACTTACTAAACATTTCTGAAATCGGTTCACTTCTCTCTCTACCACCACTATCTTAGTTTAGGCTGTACTCATCTTTTTGGATAGATGGTTCCCTGAATTTACATCTAGTTTCTGCCCTATACCCTACCTCCAAAGACAAGCAAGTAAACAAAACCTTTTATTTAAAAAAAATCTATCTTCCTCCAATTTAGTCATTGAGGTATTTCTAAAATACGGAGTACTCCCCTGCTTAAACATTTAAATAAAGTGTAAACTTAGTAGCCTGGCCTCATAGGGTCTTTACAATCATGCCTTATGTCCATGCCTTTTGTTTTTTAGTCATTTGCATCCGCTGTTGTTTCTGTAAGCAATTCCTTTCCCCCCTTTTCTTCATTCCACCCTCTACCCTATACTTCAGGTCTTAGTATAATTGTCTGTTTACTTGTCTATGACCACTCTTCCCCACCCTTATCCCCAACCTGCCATTCTACCCCACTAAGAAGACTCCCTCAAGTAGCTCATCAAGGACAGGGACTATTTCTTGCTTACTAATCGTAGATCCACTCAAATCTGTTGAATGGGTGAATGTTTTTATACTTCAAGATGTGTTTAAAATTAGAAGTAGCTTTAGTGAAGAATGAAAGATTTCCTTACAAATAATAGGACATCATCTCCCAATCTGTTTCTCAGAGCGTTTGTATCCTACAAGATACTAGATCAAATATGTTAGAGAATGCTGCAGGTTATATCCCTATTTTGGATATTCACAGTGGACATAAGGACAATCAATAAAGACTTCCAACAGCAACAACAAAAAAACCCAGAAACTAAAAGAAAATCCCTGTTTTTTGGATCAGCATTTTTCTAATATATTTGATTATGAGACCTTTTTAGGTAGTGTACCTGTGACTTCTTTTAGATTACTAGTGATATTTTCGATTTCAGATATGCTCAATTTGACAGGTGTATGTGTCTTTTATTTTCCTCAGGTCCGATTAATAAAATTAAAAAACATAATCAGTCTGGATGCATGCCTCTAATCCCAACACTTTGGAAGGTCGAGGTGGGAGGATCGCTTGAGGCCAAGAGTTCAAGGCCAGCCTAGACAAGATAGTGAGACCTTGTGGTGGTGCATGCCTACGGTCCCATCCACTCAAGAGGCTAAGGAGTGTGGATCATTTTAGCTCAGCATTTAGAGGGAGTGATGAGCCGTGATCATGCCACTACACTCTAGCCTGAGCAACAGAGTGAGACCTCAACTCAAAAAAATGAAAATAAAAAAATAATCAGATCATGCCCAAGGGATATTTGGAGAAGCTCTGGTTGTTTATATTCAGAACAGAGAGCCTGAGGGAAGACACAGCAATCTTTAAACAGTTGAAGTTTCCAATAGAAGAGGGATTAAAAGTATTGACTTTGAAACTAAAAAATAAGAGCCAGAATCAGGGGAGGAAGTTGTAGGAAGGCAGATTTTGACTTAGAGTAAGGATAATGTTCTAATAATTAGTACTGTCCAGAAAATAAAAGTGCTTTGGAAGGAAATTAATATTTTTTGTCCATGAAGGTTATCAAGCAAAGATCCATATAAATGCTGTAGGGAAGTTTAGCACATGAAATAAGGGACAGATTGGAAGATTAGTTTTTTGAAATAGTTTGGAAACCATTAGACTTAATTTCTAAGATATTCATCAACTTGGAATTTATATTAATACCTTTCTAATTCTATGAATGCATGCCTTGGTCCAAAATCTCAGTAAAGAAACTAAATGTGTTATGGGAAACAAACAGATTAGAAACTTTAGTTGTTTAGTTAAGTACTTTTACTTGATGGTATTTGTAAAAATAGACTATATTTTAGAGCAGTTTTAGGTGCACAGAAAAATTAAGCCGAAAGTACAGAGTGCACATATACCCCCTGTCCCCACACATGTATGTACAACTTCCTTTACATACGTGTGTGCCATGGTGGCACGTTTCTTATAATTGATGAACCTGTGTTGACATATCATTATTACCCAAAGTCTATAGTTTATTTTAGGTTTCACTCTTACTTGACGGTATTTTGAAAGAACATGAACATTCCTGCCCCACTTTAAGAAAGTGGTTTTCAGTCATTTCTTGGTATAATTTAGGCTTTTCTGATTCAGAAGCATAAAAATTAGCTAGAATCAACCTCACCTATTTTAAGAAAGTATTCAGAGATGGGGAACGTTATTTTTTTCATAAATCTTAAGTGTTTTATTTTGCTGGCTAACAGTGTTGTTTTTTCTTCCTTTTAAGTACCAAAAGAATTGGTGGAGCTCCATCTGAAGTTGATGAGGAAGATTGGCAAATCTGTTACAGCAGACAGATGGGAAAAATATTTGATCAAGGTAACTAATACTTGTAAATTACCTTCTCTATTACTGAAATAGTATTCTAGCATAAATTGGCGTTGTGTTTTATAATATGTGTAACTTGTAAAATAATTTACTAAAAGTTAGAGAATGTGGTTCCAAAATCTACATTGTTATAAGTGTGTGAGTCTCATCTTTTGCTGCAATATCTTGAACCCTAAAGTCAGATTTTGGAGGTAATATCTCTTTCGTGCTTAACACTGTACTCAGGACTTTTCTTGTCTTCTTTTATTTAATTCTTAAAATCATCTTGATCAAATCAAATAAGATACAGATAAGGCCCAGGAAAGTTGTCATTTTTACTTGCTATCACACAATATACATTGAATCGCTGAGTGTTCTTTTTTACTTACAAGTCCAGGCTCTGTTATACAGAACATGTCATCTTTTTCTTTTCTCAGGGTTTTTACATATACTGTATCCTCTGCCTGGAGTGCCTTCATACCAACTTGTTTTCCTGGCAGACTTACTTATCCTTTAGCTTAAATATTACTGTCTCCTTGAGGCCTTCTCCCAGGAAGTTGTTCCTTCATGGACTTGCATTTAACTCTATTATAGAAACCGTTGTATAGTTTTATGTTGAATATTCACTGTGTGCCAGGTACTGTGTTTAACACTTTCTTTACATTATCTCACTTTGAAATACCAATTGTCCTCATTTTATTTACAAGGAAATTGATTGTGAGAAACTAAATGCAGTAACTTGTCCAGCCTCACATTGCTAAAATTGGCAGAGCCAACATTCAAACGTAGGATTTGGTGAATTCAGTGCTTTGAAATACCACTGATGAAATGTCCCTCACATTTGTCTTTCTTGTAGGTTTTACGTTTTTTAAAGGCTCTTTTCATCTTTTATTCATCAATATTAAATGAATTAATTAACTACTTAGGCAATTTTAGTTTTCTTTCCCTTGACTGCCAGTTTAACTCTGTTATACTTATTTCAGTTTAACAGCTTAACTCTGTTATACTTATTTCTCTATTGTAACCATTAGCTAGTTTTCTGATAGAAGATAAACATTCTATCAGCAAACGGTTACTTGGCTCTTGATCTTTTATCTTTCTCCTTGTAGCACCATTATATACATGTATTACTGAGAGCTTGTTTCTTTTCCTTTTGAAGTCAATGGAATATAATTAATACAAAATTCTGTTTAAATCTAGAGCCAGTATCTGGCATCTGCTAGGCCTTGTTGCTTTGCTCACAACACGCATTACCAGTCTAAGCCTTTCCTGCTAAGTGTAGACTTAGCAGACTACACTATTGTAACTAATCAGTCAGCTCTGGCACCTGTTTGTCATCTCTTGTTAGTGTCACCCTAAGACATCTGATTTAAGACATATGGAATGATCAGAAATTTGTTAGGAAATTACCAGTATCCTAGGCTTACTGTAAAATAAAGTACTTAGAGAGAATGACAATGAATGGAACCCTAGCATCATGTGATAAGGAAGTTACTGTGAAAATCCAACTGAGCAATGAGGAGGTTTGAATTAAAGGTTTGGCAATAGAGATGGAGAGGAGGTGGTGGAAATGAGAGCTATTTGGAAGGTAGAATCAGCTACTCTTGATAATTTTTCAAGAAGGAGAGAGATGTGTCTAGCAACTCAACCAAGGGCATTTGTTTTTGTGCAGTTGTCAACATATATTCTCAGTATTATCCAGAGTAGAAAGAAACCCTAGAAACTAGGCTGGTAACTTTTTAAGGGGGAATTACCCTTCTTAAAAGTAAAGGAATCCAGTGAATGGAAATTTAAACTAGCAGTTCTGCTAGGACCCTTGCTTAGTTGGATAGGCCTTGGCCTTATCATTCTTCACATTCCTTTTACTTGGCAAGACGTGAAGAAATTTCTCTGCTGGTGAATTTTTATGTTCCACGAAACTCCTCTATTTCCTGTGGTTATTAATGATTTTAGATACCACATAAGCAATTTCAGACACCTTGAACATGGATAATGAATACTACTCTGCTAAATAAACAGACATCTGCTTTCACACATTTAGTACCTGTGTCTCCACTTCCTACTGCCCTGCCTCCTTTCCAGAGACAACCATATGAAGGCCCTCAAAAGTAGTGGGAAAACCAATTTTTTAAAATAAATTACCTTTAAAGGAAATCACAGTTGATTACTTTTAACCTCAGAATAATTTCTAAGTAAATAAACAAGTGATAATAATTTATTATTGCTGTTTTTCTTTGATTCTGTAATCTTTTCAGTGCATGCCATACCAGTGATTTAGAGATAATTTTTCAGAGAAAAGAGAAATAGTCACACTGAATAAAATCACTGATTTTAGGATGCACTTGATTTCAATAAATGTTAAAATATAAAAACAAATGTGCTTCTTAGTATAAGGAAATAATATTTCCTGGGGCTCAATACTTGAGTAATGATAACATTAAATAGAAAATAACCTAATGTGTCTTTTCTGGGGTGTTTTTCTAGCCCTGCACAGGAAATGACCTCATTCATTTGACCTTCAAAGTAATGAGAAGACAAGGGATAATCTCTGTTCCCTAGTAACAGGTTTAGAAATCCTTTGAAAGTGAGTAAATTAGGCAATAAATAACCTTGATCTAAACAGCAGTTTCAAAAAGGTCGATTGCTTTTATTCCTTGGGAAGATCATCATCTATTAGCAAATCTTGAGGATGGTCTTTTGTCGTTTGTTAATTTGGATACATTTTGACAAGGATTGGATGTTTCCTTACTGTTGTGTTCCTCAAAAGTATGTTAAGATTGATAATCTTAATTTTTATTTACATTGTTAATGTCTTAACTCTGTTTTCCTTTTTATTGAGATATAATTCATATGACATAGAGTTCACCATTTTAAAGTGTACAATTTATTTGTTTTTAGTGCATTTACTGTGTTATACAACCATAACCACTATCTGATTCCATAACATTTCCAACATCTCACTAAGAAACCCTGTACTTATTGTCAGTCTTAATCACAACCCACTCCAACCTCTCCCCAGTAACCACTAATCTACTTTTTGTGTTTGTAGATTTTCCTATTCGCAACATTTCTTATAAATGGAATAATAAAATATGTGATAGTTTGTATCTTTTTTCACTTGATTTTAAGGTTTATGCATATTTTAGTATAAGAGCATATTCTTTTTATTGCCAGGTATTAATCCTTTATATGGGTAGTGCCACCTTTTATTTGTCCACCATCAGTTGATGAACATTTGGGTTTTTTCCACTTTTTTGACTGTTAGGAATAATATTGCATGAACATTTGCCTACAGGTTTTTGTATGGACATATATCTTCATTTCTCTGCTTTACATGCCTACAAGTGGAATTTCTGGGTCACATGATAATTCTGTGTATAGCTTTTTGAGGAACTACCATACTCTTTTCCATAGTAATGTTTCCATTTTACATTCCCATCAGCAATTTATAAGTGTTCCAATTTCTCTATAGCTTATGTTTTAATAATAATGATAATAACTAATATTTGAGATCTTATAAACTGGATACTATGCTTTTTTTAACCTGCATTAATATTTAATTAATATCACAGCCAGATAATAGAAAGGTAAATAACTCCCAAAATCACACAGATAACAGATGGTAGAATAAGGATTGAACACAGGTTTGTTTGATACCACAGCATGAATGCTTAATGCTTTATATATTACAAAGCATTTTCGTATACTTTTAACTTTTTTAAATGTTCCTTAAAGAATATCATTTATTCTGCAATAATGTATAAGCAAGCATGATTTATTCTCCTAAGTGAATTGCAGGTGAGAGTGCAGAAGGGACACTGGATTTGTAATGGGGAAAACGTTTGCCTGAACGATGCTAAAATCCAGGTGTATAGGTTTAGTTAAGTTATTTAACTTTCCTGAGCCTCTGTTTTTTCATGAAAATATATATGAATACTCAGTATAGTGCCTGTCAAATAAATGTTAATACTAAATCACCAAAGCAACAGCAGCAATTTTAGGGAAGCTTTTTCTCTTCTGTGGCTGGCATTCCTTTGGAAATAGATGTGAACTGGGGTAAAATAACTTATACTTATGGATGTAAAAATGTTGAGTTACAGTTCTGTAGTTTTCTACTGAACTCCTGTGTGACTTCAGGTGGTCTAATGAATGCTCTATCATATACCAAATGTCTTTCAAAAGAGAAGCATGTGAAACAGACAGCAAACTTGCTCTTGCTGCTATCCTGCCTGTTGTGCCCTTCACAACATATCTTACCTTTGTTGAACTATATAACAATTAGCAAAATACAACAGATACACTATTTCATACCATATATAAAAGTTAACTAAAAATGGATTAATAACCTTAATATAAGAATTAAATCCATAAAACTCTTGGATGAAAACAAGGGGACATCTTCATGACCTTGGTGGAGTATTAGCTATGACAGCAGAAGAATGAACAACAAAAATAGATCAATTAGACTTTGTCAAAATTAAAAACACGTGTGCATCAAAGGACATTATGAAGAAAGTGAAAAAAAGGAACTTACAGAATAGAATAAATTGCAAGTCATGTAACTGATAAGATACAACTACAAAAAGACAACCCAATTAAAAAGTGGGCAAAGGATTTAAATAGATTTCTTCAAAGAAGATATACAAAGACCAATAAACACATGAAAAGATGTTCAGCACCATTTGTCATTGGGGAAATGCAATTCAAAACCACAATGAGATGCCATTTTACACCTAAGATGACTTTTTAAAAAAAAATAGTGACATAGTTTCTCTCTGTTGCCTATGATGGAGTGTAGTGGTATGGTATGATCATGGCTCACTGTATCCTTGAATTCCTGGGCTCAAGTGATCTTCTTGCCTCAGCCTCCTAGCTGGGACTTCAGACATGCACCACCATACCTGGCTAATTTTTAAATTTTTTGTAGAGACAGGGTCTTTCTATGTTTTAGGCTGGTCTTGAACTCCTGTCCTGATGCAATCTTCCCACCTCCCCAGTAGCTGGAATTATAG